ATCCATGCATGAGCTTGAGTATGTTAAGAGTGACTGATCGGTATTAAATAAATTTTTATTTATTTATGAGTATTGGACAAGTTCAATGTATTTGTAATACTTTCTTAACATATCAGCTTTTTACCACTTATCACCACATATGAAAGTTCTCGAAGAAGCAATTTCTACTATCTTGGTCAATATTAACCTTCATTATAACCATGTACGTAAGACTATGCATCTTCTTAGTTACAATCATGTAAGCAAGACTATAAATTTTCTAAGTTTTGGTAACGTGCATTTGATTTAGATTGAAAATATTTGTACAATAATGAATTTTCCAGCCAACGAGCCGGGCCCAAGCTAGTTATCCATAAACAACATGAGTAAAATTGAAAGCTTTTTCCTCCTTGTCAATTAAGCTTCTTCACTCTCCACTCGATAATATCAACTTTATTCTACACAATTAGAAAGAAAAAATTAGACATGTCTCCACAAATATAAATAAAATTAGTTGCCTAAAATATTAAATATACCGGGAAAATTAATTATATGGGTGTGGACGGGTATCCATGAGACGGGTATACCTAAATCCAAACCCAACCCAGTAAATAGTGAACGGATTTAAACTCGAACCCGGCCCAAAACCCGTCAACGCGAGTTTTACCCGCGTTGATCGGATCAAATACCCGTGGGTTCGAATTTTGTTTACATCCCTACATATCAATTACAATAATTAAAGTTCTATAGGAGATTCCAGATTAAAAAACAATTTATACGGATAAAAGAGTTTCTCAAAAAATTCTTGATCAGATGTGTGTCACTTGACGCACCTCTCTTGAACCCAGGACTGTCTCTGAGAATCTGGCAATGCTAAATAAATTCCATTAACCAGAGATGATTATGATCAAGTTGATGAGGTTGAACGAAGGGATATGTCCATGACTAAATTCATCTTTCATGTAAATTACCTATTCAAAGCTTCTTAACAAAAAAAAAAGGTAAACATTTATGTGCAAATCAATATATGAAGAAAACCACCAACTTAGAATCAAAAATTAAGTACGGTGCACCCAAATGTCCTAAGGCATCCAAAAAAAATGGGTTATAGGTATAATATGCCCCTCTACTATGACGTTTTATCAAACATGTCCCTCTACTATTTTTTACATCAAACATGCCCATGTACTTTGTAAAAATGATCAAACATGCCCTTTTGTTAAAATTTTCATCTAAAAACCGTTAACCAAGGCCGAACTTTAGTTTGGCCGACACAAATTACTAAAATATCCCTAATAAATTCACTTTAGAATTTTTTTGGTTATTTTGTATAATCAAATCATTCAAATAATTTCACTTTGAAAAGACCCAGAGAAATAAAATAGGGGACAAAACTGACATTTTCCCTCCCATTTGTCGATGTCGGGTCGTCTAAATATCAATTCAACCATGATTGACGACTTTTTCAATCGAAATTTTAACAAAAGGGCATGTTTGATAATTTTTTCAAAGTACATGGACATAGGGCATAATTGATGTAAAAAATAGTAGAAGGGCATGTTTGATAAAACGTCATAGTATAGGAGCATCTAAACACTACTATATGGAGGTTCTCCTCCTGCACCCTCCTCATTCTCTTTTTCTTTATTCCTGCGCAGAGTACGGAAGGCCTTTATGGTCAATTTAGTAGCAGGTCTTGGGTTTATTTTTGTGTGTATATTTGATATGCAGGGACGGCTGTAATGTATATGTATGGGCCTGAATTCTCAATATTTTCTTTAGTGGGTTGCTTTCAAGGAACGGCTGTATGTATATGCAATTTTTTGGCAGCAAAAAAAGATAAAATAATACTTGCTTTAGTTTCAAATAAAAACAGGGTCATATGTTGAGTCATATATCGGAACAAAATTTTTGAACGATATCAATTGTAAAGAGCATTGTGAGTAATTATATTAATGTAGATACAATGAAATCAATTTGAATTGAATTACATAAATTGTCAGATGACAATAGAGACAACATATGCAAGTGATTTTGTAATTCATTGGCGGTATTCTCCAACCTTTTAATCGAATATGAAATAAAAATTAAAATCAAGGATTGAAAAAATGTACCATACCGGCAGCTAGACCAGAAAAATCTCTTACTGGAAGCGAAACTGGTAGACGATATTTAGCGGTATGAAACGATTGAACCCCGATTTCAACATCAAACACAGTATACACTATCGCTGACTTTCCATTACAACCTCCTATATGGTTTTATAATCCTTGATAAAAACAACATACAGTTAGAAATGGTTGGTTATGAAAGGCTACGATATAATTCATCCAGATAACAGATGGGCCTAAAATTCTCTTCATTCCAGGGTTTCTCTTACATTTTAATCGACTACGAAATAAAATTAAAACAACACTTAGGAATGGTAGGTTAATCAAAGATAAAGTTTGTTTCATGGCTCTCTAACATGTTAATCGGCCCAAACGATAGAGACTCGCTTCTTCTTTCTCTGCCAAAATACTACGAAATTGAATTATTTTCCCTTTGATTTTTTTTTCTTGAAATTAGTTCCATTATTGCTTCTCTTTGGAGGTACCAGTAGCAGTGCTTCTAGGTAAAAGTCTCTAGGACGTATTCCTTGGATTTGGAGCTCTGTATAAGCTTGGGAAGGTCCATCTTGGGGTATGAATGATTATTATTGCATTTATATTATAAAGCCTAAACCAGATTTAAGTAATTAGTTAAGGATTTCATGCTCATGTTAGAACCCCTCTAACGTCAACTATTTTGCTATATATTATTTAGACTAAAGTTAATTTACATGCTTATATAGTGCTTCAATTCGATTGTCAAAAATTGAATGTAAGTACATATAGTTTTATTAGCATAATTAAATACGTCTTGCAAAACTACTACTCCATATTATATATTTTAGAAATTAGCTAAAAGAAAATACGCTTTTTATATAAAGAAAAAGTGTATATATGGAAAAATTGTCAACATTCCTACTGGTAGTCCGTTTACTTCATGTTTGGTTTTTATTTATATGTCATCAAATTTTGTGTTGATGATAAGATTGCTTACTTTACTAATTCCGATAAGGACTTCAAAATGAGAGCGAATAAATTACAAACTAAGAGGAATAGATTGTTAAGGTCCATCAAACTTACTGAATATTGTTATAATCATCTTCAAGTGATGCGTTTTGGAGACTTTCAATGTTTATTTTTATTTACCCGATTTGAAATTTCTTCATTTATTTTGATGTTAGAATTTTATCAAATGTATTTCTTAAATAGGAATTTTAATTTTATTGCAATTGTTGGAGTGTTTGATAATGGAAACTATTCGTATAAATATTGTTGATATTGTGGATCGATGAGGTGAAAAGGTGAGAGTACCAAAAGTCCAAAACCACGAGGAATTTCAATAACCAAAGTTTTCATTGTATAACAGACAAGGCAAAGTGAACCTCCCTCCACGAAAGTAGCCTCCAGAAATTTTGAATATGCTACTGCAAGCAAATACTTCAATGGCACGTCATTTTTGGAACCGGTCTAAGGCTATAATGAGGTATTTGCATTAACTTTTGTTTTAAATAAATTGGACAATCTATAAATGATGGACGGGAAGTATACGTTTATTCGATTGGAGGTGAAGTATATCATCGAGTTAGTAGCCTAAAACCTATTGAAGAGAAGATACCAAATTTTTCTCAACTCTACATATATGAAAATACATTAAACTCTAAAACCGGTTAGATTATTCTTTCATAGATCCAATTTCAAATCCTTTTGCATGATTCAACTATTCAACAATTGCAGGAGATGTTAGCTTCAAGTAATATCTTAGTAAAAACATTTTGATCTACAATGGATAGATAAAATGACATTATTGTTCAGCTTGTTGAAACTAGGTTGCTTGCTAAAATAGAAGGGGAAGGTAGAAAATATGATTTGTCATATGCAAATGAGATTGTTGCTTTAATTGTTGACGATAATAGGGAACAAACATTTTGTCCTGATATCGTTGTCCACTATCAAATTCATGAACTGGAACAAATTAGTATATACTATATATCACCTAATTTTAATGGCTTTGGAATATCTCATATTCCCACATGATGAGAATGGTTTACACTCAAATATTCCATGTTTTGACATTGGGGATGCAAATGGACTCAACAATAAGATTGTGAGTCAATGTGAATTTTACAATTATATACTTCAAACAAGACTCAAAATATCATACTCATTGTTGTTGTGTGGAAGGTTGTAACAACATTGCTACCAAGGTTTTTTTGGATTCTTACTTGAGAGGTGAGTCGGATACCAATATGTGATTTAACTTTATCAAATACATGTAGTCCTCTATATAACTATGTAAACTTTGACAGTGAGAAATAAATTGAAATGTGATTTGATTATGCTTTCTGTGTGTTGGTTCTTTTGAATGAGTTTGATTTCTTACTTTCAATTACAAATTTTAATTTTTCAGTAATTGAATATTTAAGCCTATTTTATATTATCAAAGGAGAATAATATTTTTTATAATGATTACTGTTATTTATTCCATTTACCAAATTAATCCGGCCAACGGACAGGCCCAAATCTAGTATTATACCTATACCAAAAAAAATCTAAGTACCGTATACATTGTTTTCATGCTTGTGAGGATTTGACATATTTTTTCGACAAAGAAAGTATCAGTTATTATAATTAATATTGAACTTTAATCCCAAATAAAGGTAAGAAAAATAAGGGATCGGAATTCGGAACACGATTACAGTAAGTATCTGTATAATTACCATATTTTCATTTCCAGCTGTCACGTAACTGCACTATCATCTTTTCTTTCCTTTCACAACCAGCCAATAGATCTTCACATCTCTCAAAATAGTTAATTTAATTACTACGATGATTTTTTATATATCTTGACATCCTTCGTCTCGTCTCTGTACCTACTACGAGGTGTGTATATATATTAGCAAATCTATACATAATACAATTATTTCGTCTAGAGAAAATTATAATCACATTCTCGTTTTCGTTCTAAGACGCTCTCTCGAACCAATACGATCGAGTTCTGCAGGTAGATATGACATCACGGACCGCTATGATCATAGTTCTGACGCTGATGTGGTTTGCTGCATTGGACCATTGTGGAGTTTGGTGCCACAAGTTGTCAGGAACCGAGAAACTAAACTTGAGAAGGCAGTTGAAACGTTTGAGCAAACCCGCTGTCACTACGATCCAGGTAATAAAAAAAAACCCTATTTTCATGAATAAGTATAAAGAAAACTCTCATTAGTACTTTTAAGTTTTTTTTCCTGATATTTATGGATTCTGGGGATGATTTAAAGTCAATCACGAGGTTAATTGCTGGAATTTTCCAAGTTAAAATTAACGATAGTATCGATGGACCAAACTTTGAGAGGGTAGAGAAGCGTATTCTGGAGTTTGAAATGTGTGATTAAGTTTACTGATTTCTTTTTTCTTTGATTCAAAACAGACAAAATACGGTGACACATATGACTGTGTGGATTTCTACGAACAACCAGCCTTCGATCATCCTTTATTGAAGGATCGAAAGTATGAGTTCCAGGTACGCGGTGCATTAAGTTTATGCTCAACTAAATTCTCTATCTTAGTTAATTTTTCATCGCATATATAGAGTACCTATTGCTAAGAACCAACACGAGTTGTATGTATGTTCTAAATATTCTTGCAGATGAGCTCTTCTCGAGCTTCAAACCAAAAGGTTAATATTGATGGTTCTGGCATCGACCCATTTGATATATGGGTAAACGGTAAAGGATGTCCATCAAACACCGTACCAATAAGGAAAATGAAACCAAAGGAGCTTATTAAAGCCAACATGGCTGCTAAGCTAGCATATAATATTTCAGCAGATTCAAGCCAAGGTATCCATGAGGTAATTAAGTTACCAAAAATTTTCCTTTGAAAACAACACTCTATGTAATCTACTTTGTGATTGATAATTTAGCTCTTGTCATCAACATGATCTGGTTTTATCAAGCAGCGGAATATAGCTATGTGATCAGTTTGATATGTTCTAATTTCTAGCTTGTACTCCGTCACAATTAGTATTACTTAACTCATACGTAAACATGTTTATGTGTACAGTTTGCAATCCTCCAGACAACAGGGCAAAACAGATACTATGGAGGTGGAATGATAGCTAGCGTATACAATCCTCAAGTTGAAAAAACTCAATACAGTTCTAGTCGTGTCAAGTTTCAAAATGGTCCGGACAGTATTGCGGTAGGATGGACGGTAAGTACTTGTACTATCATCCTTAGTTGTCATTATAACTAAGATTTGTGGGTAATAACAATCCTACCAACTGTCGTTGATGTATTATTTTGTGTCATGATGTGATTTCTTTCTTATGTATTCATCTAGGTTAATCCAAGCTTATACTCAGATGGTGAAACTCGACTCTTCATATACACAATTGTAAGTTTTATTTAATGAGCAGAATGAAATAAAGCCAATGACTTATGATTTTTTTTTTATTACCCATTTATAAGAAAGGAGAATAGGCACTAATATGTGATTGGTTCCTCCTTCATATGGTTATAAGACCAAGGATTCACAATGTTACAACACCTACTGTCCCGGATTTATACTCCTGACGGAAGATATACCTTTAGATTTGCTTCTTAAACCTTATTCTACAGTCGGAGGTGCATCATTCGAAAAGAAGTTGTTCGTATACAAGGTAGATCATCCCATAATTTATGAAGTCATTTTTCATCAAGTGTCGAATTATTCCTCGAAGATGAACGGATGGATTGTGTATTTTTTTTCTTCGTGTTTTCTTGAAGGATCCCGCAAACGGAAATTGGTTTCTACAAATTGGAAAGGACAATATGACCGTTGGAACTTGGCCACAGAAGATATTCACGGGGTTATCGGACTCTGCAAACTATGTAGAATGGGGAGGTGAAGTTTATGGTCCAGTGGGAACTACTCTTCCACCAATGGGTGCTAGTGCTCTGCCTACAAAGCATAGGCTCGATAGTGATTGCTATGGCATCCAGGTTACCGTCATAAACGACCAACAGGAAGTCGATTACGATCCTCCATCATTGAAACCTTACAACAGTAGTCCGAGAAACTACTATTTGTTAGATGAGGGAAATCATGGAGATGTTTTCCAGCGAATTATTCTCTTTGGTGGCGTTAATGATTATCCTGTTAATGAAAATATATTGTGAGGACTCATAAGTTGCCTATCTTTTTATCCTCATTGCTGAAATAATAAAGATTCCCCTGTGTTTTTGGCCTATATGTATGCCCAATCCTTCCATGTTCACCATTAACTTCGGTAGTCATTTTCACTAGCCATTACTTACCAACCACTGAATCCACACCATTAACTTCGGTGGCATTAATAGCTAACAGCTGAGCACTAACTCAAGCTCCTACCTCTGTACTGTTAATTATATATTATAAAGTACCAATTTGTAAATTGCCTGTTTCGGCATAGGTTTAGGGTTCTAAACCTATATATATTACCTGTGTAACTTGTAGAAATAACAAAGTAATAAGAAGCAAAAACCTGTGAGGGAGATCCTCACCGTGGACTAGTGTCATCTTGACGAAACCACGTTAAAAAATCTTGGTGTTCTTTGATTTTCGCATATTTTGACATGTACCTCACCTTATTCAAGCCAAGCCATGATAACTATGGGCAGAAACTATTGCTTCACTGGCAGTAGCGGCTTCTTAAAATGTCATCTACAAGGAACAAACCACTAATTCACATCAAAATAGTTCTGAATTTAAACTCATTATAGCAAAAAGAAAATTCTACTAACAAGATAGAAGGCGGGTTACTTAAGAGAGCAAAGTTCAACTAGAAAAGTATGAATGCTTATGGTATCGAAGAGAGCAAAACTTAGTGGTAAATTGTTGAAACATTCAGATTCAATAGTCTCATTTTGTATTGCCCTGGTTACCTCTCAAGTTGGAGAAAAAAAAAAAGAGAATGGAGGGTGCTCTCTCCTCTCTCTCCTCCTTTTTTGTTCACTGCTCGGAATATGCTTCTCACGGGCCGTCGCTGCGGCCAGCTTGCGGAACCAGAATAAAGAAAACTGGTTTCAAGGGTCGCCCTCCGATCGTATCCAGGTGATGGGAATGAACGGAACCACAATCAAAATCAGGACGGATGGCAATCTCCAGGCTATCGCGAACCCTATCCCGCAAGGGGCTTCTCGGGAGATTGGCCGGCGCAAAGATCTGTAGCGTCGCCAGAAGAAACGATCGGTTCATGATGCTTTTGCGGGGTTTGAAATCCCAGAGTTGCGTCCGTCAAAGAGGTATAGGAAAAAGCCACGGAAGCAATGGAGGTTCTAGCTCCCACACTCGTCAGATTTAGATGAGGATGAATCTGTTCTAGCCTCGCTCGCGGGGAGTACTTCACAAACAATACGATGTCCAATTGAGCGCAACGAACGTTGTGAAACCTTGGATCAATCTTTACCTTGGGGGATGGACTTTTCCCGTGAACCCAGTTCGTGTAAAAGCTGGGTTGTGTAAAACCCACTTCAATCAAAACTCAATTGAAGAAAACGGTGAGTGTTTAGCTCGGAAGGTCCCCTTGGCGGATGGGGCACTTTGCGTTCCGTCCGGCACTAGGAAGATGACGACGGAGATACATTCACAACCCTGCATACCCAGTGTTTCCGGCGACAATCGATTCGGCCTCTCTGGTGGTGCCGACGTCCATCGCCGGCTGGTGGGGGTGCGGCACCGCTCGGCGGTTACAGATGGATCTTTCCCCGATTTCCCGTCATTGCTGGACGGGATCTGCGGAGGCAATTTCCAATTAAAAAACAAAATCTGAAACCGTTTCAGAAATCTCCTAGTCGAATTCAAATTCGAATTGGCGACAGAATGAGGGGAACACGGTTCTTGGGGATCTCGGGTTCTTGATTGAGTTGACCGGCCCATATAGCACCATTACCCCCTTGAATGGCAAACCCACCCCTAATGCCATGTTTCTGCTGCCACCATTTTTAGTGACAGAGCCGGCCTTACCCTATGCCTCTAACGCTTTATATATCCCTCCTTGTCAGGTGAATAGGATGTCGGGTATCGCGGAGGATCAAGTGGTCGAGTTCTCACTTGAGGTGGTCCATTCTGTGAAGTTTCGCACTTCTAGGGGGAAAAGTTAATCTGCTAACTTGAAAATTCGCTAGCAGATACTAACTGATATCCAAAATACATGAACTAGTATCCAAGTACTAAAGTATCTAGAGATCACATACTAGTATTCAAAGTTTCCTAACTGATATCCACCACGAATCAACTATTATCTCAAATTCACAAACAAATATCTAGACAACACAGAATAGTATCCATACAACACATAATTAGTATCCACATAACACATAAGAGTATCAATATTGAATACTAGTTGGTTGATTGTGGATATTAGTTGGTATCTGCTATCTGGATACTAGTTTGTGATGTTTTGAATACTAGTCTGTGCTATCTAGATACTCAGCAAACTTGGATACATGTTCATACATTTTGGATATTAGTTAGTATATACTAACAACTTATGCAGTTAGCAGAATAACTAGGCTGACTTCTAGGACCCTTTTGGGAAGGCTTTTTCGGAAACCAGGTTCACTACCACAGAACTAAGGGATGGTTTAATCGAAGCTTGGCGGGTGAAAGGAAACCTTAGGGTTACACTCACTAAATTTGGCCTATTTGAGTTGGTACTTCCAAATGATGAGACAAGGGTGTGGATCCTGAAAAGAACACCCTGGATTGTCAAAGACAGGATTTTCCATCTCCGATCATGTTCACCATCTATTTCGCGGCTTACCTTTGATGAGTTGGACATCGTTCCCTTTCGCGTTCAACTATGGAACATGAAAGATGATTGTTGCACTAAGCAGTTTGGCCGGAAAGTGGCATCTGGGACTATCGGTCAGGTCTTGGAGGCAGATGTCTTTGCGTCCAAGGACACAGAGGAGTGCTTTATAAAAGTGCACGCTCTCATCGATTTTACAAAACCTTTGCGATCCCAGCTCATGGCAGTTAGTGAAGAGCTTGGCAGCTTCTGGGTAAATCTCAAGTATGAGTATTTACCGACCACCTGCTTCCACTGTGGCCGCGTGGGACACTCAAAACGTGACTGCGTGTTCGATCCTCCTCCGGGTAAAGAACGCTTCGGCCCACACATGTCAACGACGAAGCTAGGAAGGAAGATATACATGGATGAGGAAGATTACCCTAGTTTTCGGAATACTAGTAAGTCTGTGTGGGTTAACAGGAATGTTCAAATGCACAATGGTGGGAGTGCGAAGACTGCAAGGGGTCGAATGCAGGAGGTACCACCAGGACCTAATGACCGCTCTCGGGCTCAAGGATCGTATCATGCTCTGTCAAAAGAGTATACAGTTCAAGCTAGCTAGGAGGCTCAGCCTAGGCTGTGTGAACCAAATATCAGGTTGGCTGGGAATTGTGCTAGCCCTAAAAGATTTGTCTTCAAGACGTCGCCTCAGGTTAAGATTGGTGGTGGTGTTAGGCAATATCAGAAGAAGCAGTCACCTAGAAGGCTGCCTCCCTTCCTCGGCAAGGCACCAAGGGTCGCCAACATCCAGATAGGCGAGCCAAGCAGGTAGGCTCCCCAATGACAAAAGATGGCGGATCCTATGGTGGAGGCTCTCGCACAATCCCGGAGACGTAGGCTGATCTTGCAGGAGGAGTCTTAGGAGGAGGAGAATGCGGATGAGAAAGCCATGCATCCCATGCATTCACTTGCTCCTTCTAGTCCTACTAAGGATCCTATTCTTTCATTGCTGAAGGATCCCGGCTGCATTCCCAGATTGAGGCCCAGCCTGGAGTATTGGTACCACGAGTTCGCCCTCGTCTGAGGAAAGCAGGAGCCAGCTTCCTTCTATCTATAAACAAGCAGGATGTGGGCTCTGCTCCATCTAGTGCTATGCATGTGCTGGAGGATAAGGAGATTGTTGCTCATTGAGAGGGTCCTATTTATGAGGATCGCCAAAAGGCCTTTGAATCTGATGAGGATCACTCGCTCGAGGATCATCACTCCTTTGAAATCAAGCGACGTTCCCTAGTTGGAGCCTCTACGAAAGCCTGCCAAATCATGAAAGGGCGTGTTCACCAAGTGGTGGAGGCGTTCGAAGATGGGCTAGTCATTGAGCGGGAGGAGAGTGTTCCTACTTCCTCGCAAGGGGTCGAGCTTGAACCTGGATGAATATGGGTCTAATATGATGGACCCAATCATGGAAAACCGAAAGCGGGGGATTGATGAGCTGGATGGGGATGTGGGTGACCCTCCCACCCCGAAGAAGCAATTTGTGGAAGCTGCTGATGTTTTGGATGGGGATGTGGGTCATCCCTCACTTTCCAAACTGCGGTAAGGCTTGTTCATTCCAATAAACCGGATCTCGTGTTTTTCTCGGAAACGCGATCGAGCCGGCGTGTAGTATCCCGTCGTATGCGGGGTTTAGGTTTTGCTCTTTCTTATTGCTTTTTGTAGATGCAATCGATGCATCCGGTGGGTTAGTAGTTGCGTGGTCCCCCGGGTTGACACTTTGGTGTTTTGTCATTCCAATTTCTATATTTGTTCGCAAATTAATGAAGGAGATTTTCTTATGTTGTGATCTTTGTTTACATTAGTTGTAATGTTGCTATTCGAGCTACCCAATTGGCTCAGTTGCAAGACGTTTGTGCGAGTATCCATCACCCTTATGTGGTCATAGGTGATTTCAACACTACGCTTTATGAGAATGAAAAAGATGGGGGTAGGGCGTTGAATGCTGCTCAAGCCATTAGTCTCTGTGACTTTGTTCATGATTTGGGTCTCCATGACCCTGGTTATCAAGGGGATCAATTCACATGGACGAACAAGCGCATGGGTGAGGCGTGCATTCGTGAACGTCTGGATAGGGCGCTTTGCTCCCAGTCCTGGATTGATACATATCCGGAGACTTTGGTCAAACATTTTACGGACCAGGGATCGGATCATCGTGCCCTTCTTCTCGCTGATAAACCATATAGTCGGAATAGTCGACCCCTATTCCGGTTTGATGCCCATTGGGCGGATAATCTTGAGGTTAGGGCTATGGTCCACTATGTCTGGCAAGAGGAGATCCAAGGTACCCCTATGTTTCGAATTTGGGAGCGCCTAAAGAAGCTTTTCCATCTGCTTTATGATTGTAGCAGGGCGGGCACTACGAATTCCCTGCGCAATATCAGGACTCTCCAGGCAGAGATTGACCGGATAAAGTCGATCCATCCGGTGGACT